GAAGGGTCCATAGTTTAGAACAAATAGACACAACCGTTTGCCTGCTGAGGTGTCCTTATCATTACACAATATAAATCCTCTGCAAATTTTGAACACCTAATGTGGAAACCATCTGTACATGTTTCTGATTTATTTCATATACTCTCTTGATCTCAACTTAGGAAACAAAGCTGTTCAGGCCCTGTTGTCATTTCATGGCCAGATATGCAAAGAGACAAACCACCTCCTTTCTCCCTGTGTAACAGTCATGCCATACAGTGCCACGCGTCCTCATCTTGATTGAATCCATCACAGGTAGTGTCTGTGTTTCTCTCTCCATCACACGCACACACACCTTTAATCTATGTATTCCTTTACCTCAGTCTTCCAAATTTTGCTCTTTTTCCATAAATAAAATCTTTCCTCCAATGTCTTTTCATGTCATTTGTGAGACAAAAAAAGATTCTGATCATGGTATAATGACACTATACATATTTTAAGAAAGAAAGCCATACATTTCGATATTACATTTTTCACAATAAAGGGCCTATATAAATCTCTTAGTGCTAATCTCAGAGAAAAAGACTAAAGATTAGGGGGAAGGAGAATGTACTTCCTATTTTCTACTGTTTTAATAGTTTGACTTTTTTTTTTTTTACCTTGCCCATATCTTACTTTCATAATATTTTTGTTTTATTTTCAAAATTACGTACATGGTGGTAGGGTTGACTTGAACTGTTGATTTTCAATTACAAATGCACAAAATTTCAGTTATTTCATGATTAAAATAAGGATCATGAGCCAGTCTGAGCATCTTACCACCATTTATAAGGCCATTATCGTTTTCAACTTTAATATACAGTAACTGGCTTACAGATAAGCTTTTGGAATACATACCATTTGTCAATTGTAAAGAGCTATATTCATTAAAACCAACACATTTTCAAATTTCAGTGTCAAGACCATACGGATTATCTACTGCCTCCGCAGGAGGTATGATATCTTGGAAATCCATTTCCTAGTTCTACTCTCAAGCAAACAATAATCTCTCCATAGCAGGAGGCCTAAACGGTTAATCCAGTATGTCAGACAACCTATTTAATAAGCAGGACCGCTTGACCATAGAAAACAAATACTATATGTATGCAATACATAATATCTATATATAGTAGACATTGATTGTATTTTACATACTGTGTATAATAAGCACATGTTATACTGTGTATATTACATGACATATATAGGAAATTGTATTACACTTTCACTTTTCCAAGTTACATATATTGCACTTCCTCTACTATAGTGAAACTTTGTCTCTTCTTTCCTTCCTATATTTATATGTAATTAATACAGTAATAGCAGTTGCTTTTCTATAGTCTTAAATGGAGTGTTTAATCATCTTATCTGAATGCACAAAATTTACTTCTAATACCAAATATGATCATATTCCATGATTTAGGATATAACCAATGGAATACAGCAATGGTTCTCCTCCTCCTGTACTTCAGGAGACCAGTGGCTATGGATATGAGGGGATTTTTCTTTCCTTTAATGGCTCAAGCTCAGGGTGTGGGGGGTTGGATATACAGCTAAGGAGTGTTTTCCAACCACTCGTGATACAATACATACATGTGCACGCGCACGCGCTCTCTCTCTCTCTCTCTCTCTCTCTCTCTCTCTCTCTCTCTCTCTCTCTCTCTCTCTCACAATCCCTGGCAGTGTGGGGTGGGGCTGGCAGGCTGTGTTCACTTCTGAGCCTCTTGTCATCAGTTTTTTCCATTGACGGCAGGTATGTTTTTAGGATTATAACTGCGCTCTTCCCTCTGCATAAATTGATGAGTAGTAGCTCTCATACCTTGTTGAAAGGATATATTATTATTGCTTTTAAAGAAAGAAAGGGATTGCAATTCAAGTTTACAGGTCCCACCCTGTACTTGTGTCGCTTAAAGAAAAAAAAAATAGCAGAGGAAATGTTTACATCAATTTAGTAGGCATTAGCTTTATTTTTCAAATCATTCTGTTTTAAAGTGGCTATAGAGTTTGCAGCTGTTTATAAAACACAAGGAATTTATCAGGATGAAATAGTTGTTTATTTCCTTTCCATATTTCCTCTTATTGGAAAAAAATACATTTGGTCCCTTAGCAAAATACAGTCCATTTCACTAAGTTATTTGTGAGATTTTAGAAAGTATTTTTCATATCACTAAGAGAGAGGTTTAGAATTATTGCTGGATTAGCAAGGGAAACATGACCTGTAGTGCTCTTTCAGGTTACCGTGGTGTCTAGTATACTAACTGTCATGAGCTTATCTCATTCTTGTTTAGCCACTGCACAGAAAGTGAGCCTTCCCCGTATTGTTCCATTCATATTCCTCTGCGTTCATTCAGAAGCTGACACTTCCTTTGCCTGACAGATGAAAGGGCCAGTGTGGGATCTTTTGATGAGGTGCAAAACAGCTTTCCTAGTCTAAGCTCCTTAGGCTGTGCTCACCCCTCACAAGTTGAGATGCTCTTTGCCCTAAAATTAACCAGAAACTTGGTCTTATTTTTCTTCCTAACAAGTTTTTACATTTCTTAAAAATATTTTTGGTGTTTTGTTTTTTGTGGTTTTTTTGGTCTCTTATTTTTAGTGTTGATTAGGAAGAGAAAGGAAATATGGAAACATAAAAAAATGAACAGCCCAAAAGAAAATATGTAAAATAATGTTTACTTTTTTCCTGTAATAATCTATCAACGGACGTTAGGTTGTGATGTTGAGCCTTTAATTATGTGACTTATTTATTATTTCATTATATATTATTTTCTTCCTATGAGAAAAGCAGTATTTAATGTCACAGGTGACAAAACACAGAGGAGAAAAACAAGCAGCGAGGTGAGGCTCAGTCACTTTAAGTGGGTTTCATATTTGCTTTTTGCTTTTGTTCCTGAGCCAGGAGCCTATAAACCCAATGAGTAAGAGCACAAATTGCCTTTCTCAGGTGCATGTCGCCAAGATAGGCCAGGAGGACAGGTGCTTTGCTGATGAAAAGATAAACAGTAAGGCACTCCTGGTGATATTTAGATAAATAACTAAAGAAGGAATTTTGAAATACCGACGTGCTACTGTCCAAATATTTACTCACTGAGCCTGGGAAGGAAGAAATTTTGGTCACCTAATATAGAATTCTTTGTTCTTTTCCATCTTGAAGCAGTAGGGTCTCAAAGACCCAAAGGAAGGGGGTAGTTTAAAAAAGAAATATAAGCCTTGCTTGTGGGGTTTCGGGTTATACCTACTGTGGGCTTAATTAAGCAAATACAATTTAGCAGTCTTGTATTTGGCAAAACATTCTTTCATATTTCATGACTGTTTATTTTAGGAGATGACTTTCCAGTTAGGCAGATTAAGATGTTTACTACGATGTGGCTTTTATCCCTCACTGTGCTGTGTTATCCATTGCCTATGCTATAGTAGATATGGAGAAGTTATTACACATGACCATGACCATTTACAAACAAATAGGAAGTTAGAGTTAAGCAGATATTTAGGATAGTTTGCCTTCCAAATATTCAAACCTGTGTTACTGAATATTTTTTAAGTTTAGCATTATTATTTGCACATCTATGAATTTTAGATGATTGAAAAAGGGCATACCACTGTGACCTTTTTAGGAAAGTAGAGAAACTTACTGGAGAATTTACCTAGGAACTTATTAAGACATTGCTAATCAATTTTATATTACATTATCTATATCTGACAGGTCTTGTAGGTAAGTTTTTGTTACTTTCTGTTCTTTGATTTGAAGCAAATTCTGCTGTCACAACAATTGGTGGTGCTGGGAGCATTCATTCATTTAGGCTCATGGCTCAAAGTAATGATTTAATCACTTCCTCTCTGAAGGTAGGGAGTTGATGAGAAAGACAGATGAGGAGCCAAAATCTGTTCTGAGATTAAGATAATGGACCTAACAAAAGGCTTATGGTGAAATGAAAGATTGAGAAAATAATTATACTTTTCTGAGGGAAACTGTTGAAGTTTACCAACTTTCGGAAGGTTTTATATGGCTTTAAAAAATCACATTCTTTACAGTGTAAGCATTGTGATGTAATGTCATCATTATAATATTTAATGATTAATCTACAGTTATTTACGTGTTTTGTTTAAACAAACATTAGAATATGTATAGTCCATATAAAGAAAATTCCAGGGTCATTTGGGGTTTTGTATGAATAGTTCCCATGTTTACATGTGAAAATGATCATTTGTGGAAGAAAAACAGAGCTTTCAGTATCCTGTTTTGGTTAGGCACTCTATAAAAAGTCTGAAATAGTGGAATCATCATAGCCCTGAGAACAAACGGTCAGACCATCATAACTTGAGCATAACCACCCCACGTGGGGACATGCTGAAAGCCGGTTTTTGGAACTGAACAGGGGCTGCAGCACTGAATCTCTGTCAGACACTTGGAAAACGTACCCGTTTATAGATGACAAACCCTTAGGGTAGAGCCCTGAGATTCTGAGAAACATAAGGTCTGCTTTACTTAATTTCCCCTCATTTACCAAGAGTCACAATCTATTTTTGTAAATAAATTCAGGAAATTGGTAAAGCACTTGACTCCATCCGTTATGCATCAGTCATTAACATGATTGTCACGTTTTTCCTGGCTCCGGAGCTGCAGTTGCTCAGAGCCTCCACACATGCCTGCAACCAGCTTAGAACGTCCCTGGTATGGCTGTGGCTGAGCTTGAACTACTTACACAAACAAGACTGCCCTCCAGTTTTGCAGAGAAGTGCACATCCTCTACTTTGTTAGTAAAGATTTTCTGTATTGATTCTGGCATTCTTTCCAAGCACTCCTTTTCACTTTTCACCCCATAACTATATTACACCCTGGGATAGAATGAAAGAGATGATCAATCACTTAGCGTACCAGCAGTCATCTCTCTCCAGCTCTAATTTTTTTTTGGGGGGGGAGGGGGGTTAAAACCGAGCTGATCTTAGTAACTTCAATTGTTCATATAGTAGGACTGGTTTTTTCCTACCTTCATTAGCCACTGAGTGTTGTTCTCCATGATGCTCTCCAGTGCTTGCAGCCTCTGCACCGAATCATCGTAATCTAGTGGTGCATCCCTCTGCACAGCATTGGATACGTAGGAGCTGGAGGAAGAGCGACAGTTGTCCATCTCCGGCAGGAGGAAAGTGTAGCTGCAGGACCCATGCTGGACCTGATACTGCTTTTTTCCTATGCTGTCCATGCTTTTGCGAAAGTTGTTGTAGGCTGCGGCCAAGACAAGATCACAGCTCAAAGTAAAGAAAACAATCTGCCACATTCTTTCTTTCTTTCTTTGAGTAATAAACCACCAGTTTAGCAAACCTCAAGGCACATAAGAGTCCAGAGTCCTAAACTGCTGTGGAAAATTCAAGGCTATGCTGGCATGGCTAAGTCCATCAGTGAAAGTCTTCTTTTTCCTCCTTTTTCAGTAGCAAACTTGGTTTTTAATGCTGTCTTCTCTCCAGGCACACAGTCAACTGTCAGATCGCAGTGGGAAGAATAGTCCTGCTCACTTGGAGGGCTGTATTAGCTTTAGAGAGCCGCTTTCATGTTTCTCTTTCCCCAGATTCTACAGTGTCAGTATCCAAATCAATCACTTTCCTTTCCTTATATGATAAGTTGATAAGAGAAGCCAGACATGTGTAGGGAGCTGCTCCGCCCCCCTGGTTTATCCGTTATCTTCCTGTAGGGAGGTCACTAGCCAGGCAGCAGGAAAAATCAGAGCCTAATGCTTGCTGTCCAAGCAGGACTATGTACTGCAGAAACCCTCTGGGAAAAGCCGATCAGTTACGGGACCCCTGGGCATTTCCGATGCACCACCCTAATTAAGTATTTCCTAGAGAGAGCAGTTGGGCTCTTTTGTCTAAAACTGATTTCACAGTGCTAAGCTGGCAAAATATCTGAGGTAGTAACTTTAATTTTAAAGTACAATGAAAGTTCCTGTTTTTTCCTTTAGGAATAAAAATACTACAAATATGTCAGGACTTCAGTTTATTTTTGTTATTACAAATAAAGAGAAAGAAGTTTGGCTGTTGTAAACTCTGCCTTCTCATAGGGAAAATAGTTTCATTGGTATTACTTGATTTTTGAACTGTTAGCTAATTTATACAAAATTTTTATTTTAAAGCAGTTTGATAGGAAGATCTCCCTTTTAAAAATTAGATTAGTTTCTGAGCTCTGATATTTGTTTTTTTAAGCAAAGTATCCACTTTAGTATTCAAAATAAACTTAAAATATACTGGACTGATTAACACTTCATTAAATTATTATAATGGATAGAGAAATTAGAATTTAAATAAGAGTATTTGAGAGAGGAAGACACCAACTTCTTATTATATCAGGATTTCCTCACATCTCATGATTTTGTAACATATTAGCAATAAATTGTTCCCACTCAGTTTTGGACTCAGGTAAATCACTTCCCCTTTTTAATTAACCTCTATGTCCTTACCTATAAAATTCAGGAGTTGAACTAACTTTCAAGAGTTATCTATTTCAATTCTATGGCTCTGTAAATTCTATGAGTTACTTCCTTCAGTAACTAAAACTTAGTTCAGAGATTAATAATATGCTATTTCACCAGCCTAAATATACACAGGAAAAAAACTTCCAGCCTTTGCCGAGATCTATTTATATCTCAGTGTACAAGATGTATTATTTTCAGTGAGTGGTAGAATATCGGGTACATGACTTAATGGACCACATCTACCCGTGAAACCCAAGTATTCAGTCTATTTTATGAAAGACCAACTTTCAGAGGGTTAAAGAATTATGATTTTAATTCACAGGTGAATATGGCAATTGAATAGTGAATTTTGTTTTCCTGGAATCTGTTTTCAGGAGACCTAATTAAACCTTTTAAAAAATCCATCCTATTACTGGGCTGATTCCCAAGTTCCCTCTAGAGCAGGGACGTCCATGGATGGAATTCATGGGCCCAGGAGCTTGGACAGGAAAAAAATATACATCTTTATTTGTCACTAAGCTGTAACTGAAATACAGCATTTCCTTTATCTAAGTATAGTTAACAAACAACAGTTGTCAATATCTGTGACTTTCTCATCAGTAGAAATTGTAGATATTTTTATTATTGATGTCTCAGCTACCTCTGATACTCAGCACTACAATGTTGTTAGACCCATGCTTTGATCCTGCTATTGAATATTTGAATAAAGTAGCAGATGTCATCTTCTGAGAAAGGAGTTCATAGACTTCCCCAGACTACCAAAGCTTCTTCTGTAGTACAGAAAAGTGAGGATTCATGCTCGAGAAGTGGCACTTTAGTAGAAGAGGTAGTTTGATTTCACCAAGATCCTGGCATACGGTTTCCACCAAAGGAACAAATTAAAGAAAATATACCCATTCAGGCAAAGAACCAGAGAGGAAAGCATTTAGATCAGAGATGAATCCTGTGTTAGAATCCTGGTTCTGTGTGACCTCCTGCAAATGCTTCATTTCTCTAAGCCTCAGTTTTCCTACTTGTAAAATAGAGATCATTCTTTGTAGGGTTTTTAGGATGAAGACAAAATGTAATAGTAAATGTTATTTAGGAATATTAGCTCCCTTTCTTTATAAGCACTTTCCATTAAATGGAAATCAGTTCTTCCACCATCAAATAGTATGTTATTCTCTGATTGAATGTGAAGGAGTAGAATAGGATGTAAATTTTTTCTTGTAAGTTTATCCACTGTTTGAAAAAAGCATATTATAAGGTATTAATATTGCATGTTTGGTTTTAAAAATCAGTTGTCTTTCAGGCAAATAGGGTGGTTTAAAAAGAAGAAACAGGAAGAGGATGTATCACAAGTACTTCTTGTCTACCAGTTTTATTTATATCAGGCAGTCTGCTAGTCACTGGGCAAAGAGATTAACACAACTGGGTTCCAATCTAAAGAAGCAAATAGTGTATTGAGGGAGAGAGACCCATAAATAACGAGGACGTGGTAAGAGGAAGAACTTTGAGTGCACAGAGAAGGAAGTTGATGTTGCTCCTGGGGAGCTCTAGTCTTGCATGCAGGTGAATGGACACTGTCCTTATCTAATCTCTAAAGATCAGAACATGGAAGGGCAGCTCCTTGCAGATTCCTAAATGGAAATGATTGGAACTAGAGAGTCAAGAGAAGCTCTGGTTAGACCAGAAACCTTTTCTGTGAAGGGTCAGATAGTAAATATTTTAGGCTTCACGGGCTGTAGGGTCCCTGTGAGAACTACTCAACTCTGCTGTTGTGACACAAAAGCAGCCATTAGCATGCGAGTGAAAAAGCGTGGCTGGGTTCCAATAACACTGTATTCATGGACACTGAAATTTGAATTTTTTGTAATTTTCACGTCTTGAAATATTCTCTGGATTTTTTTCGACCATTTGAAAAGGTAAAAACCATTCTTAGCTCACATACTATTTGAAACAAGGCAGGGGCTATAGTTTGCTGACCTCTGAGTTAGAACCGAGTGGTGTCTGTAGGGGGAATAGGAAGTGGTCAGTGAGGCCACTCTGCAGCTCACAGCCTAGTGAGAAGCGTGAGATGGACCAGGGAAAGAGGCTTATGAAAGGTGCAGGAACATCTGCCCCAAGAGAAAGTGCCACTTTGAAGCAGGATGTAAATGCAGTGCCTGCGAGGGAAAAGTACGTATGAGGGTAGAATAAAACACCGCATGTGCTCAGGGCCCACCTCAGGCAGCAGAGACACTCTCTGTAGGCAGAGCTGCACACCAGACTGTCACAAGTGGCCCCTGAGGATGTGCATGATGTCCACCCACAGGGGTGACTGGGAGACTAGCAGGAGACCCTCAAAGGAGACGGGTTTGGGGGAAGACGGGCTCGGTTCTGCCTTTGGCCAGCCCTCCTGCCCTCATCTGTAGATTCTCCTCCTGTGGTTGTTTAGTAAACACACAACTGGTAGCTCTCAATTCCTTCCACCCTGGCCTGTGGATAAGGAGGCTTGACTGTGGTTCTCAGAGCTGTTCATTTTCAGAGATCTTGGGTTTTCTTCAATGACTTGCTGACAGGATAGCTTAAGGCAAATGAGGCTGTGAGAGATATTCTTACAGGCTCCCCAGAAGCTGCCTGCTTGCCCAACCAGTTTTATTTTCCTAACAGTTCTGCTGAACAGCTGTGCATGATGCTGCTTATTTTCTTAATAATGTTTGTTTTCTCCCCGTATTATACATCATCAGCTGAAATTTCAGAGGCTCCCATTTATTCTCTGTAGAACTGTCTTGAGTTCTCATTATACTGTTTAATGGCACCAAAAAGACCACAATTACCTACTCCCAAAAAGAAAGAGATCAACATTACAAAGAACTTTGGTTTGCCCTGTTGAAGGAACATGGGCAAAAGCCAGAAGATCTCCTGTGGACTGTGGGCTGTCTGTGCCTCCCTCCAGGAGTGTAGGTCACTGGTGCCACAGATCCGCTGCTGTCTCAATCATGGAATCAGACAGATGACAACCTTCCAGATGCCCCAGGTCACCCAGAGCAATCTGTACAGCTCTCTCAGACATTTTGCTACATTTAAATGGTGTTGCAGGAAGCCAGAAACCAGAAAAGGATGCCAACTTTAAATCAGTGCAAAGTGGGGTAGCCCCCACACCATGAAGTGCCAAGTAGAATTTGCAAGTGGGCCCACGTGACTTCTGTTATTGGCTGGTGAGCCAGTTTAGTATCAGTATTTAACCAGAGTTATATCGTTGAACAAATCAAGGGGTGGGAGTGGTACCACCATCCTGACCTGGGGAAAGGTGGTATCGCTTTCCCAACTGATAAAATCCCCATGATATACTGCAGGTGTGCACTCTGAAAGAGACCTGTCTAATTGAAAAATACATGAAAGTACTGAGCTGCACTTAAAGGCACATGGGTCCCCTGCATTTATAGCAGTTCGTGCTGGGATTGTTTTCTATGAGGTGTGGGCAATACCTCCTGAGTCAGTCTCAGGCCTGATTTCTTCAACATGACCCACCCAGCCAGAGTCTGCTTTCCTCACATCATCACTGCCTGTTGGCCTTGGAGGCAATGATTGGTGCAGGCTTATTCAGCCAAGTTGCCCTTAATTTTTGGAAAGTGCCGTGTTGGTATATGAGGAACTGTCAGTGCTGAAATACCCTAAAAAATGAAGCTAAGACACTGTTTTGATTTTTGCCATTTGTAGACAGATGGGCACACTTGGGACTTTCAGAAGCCTGGCATGTAGAACTGGAGGGCCTTTAGAAACATCTTGGCGGTCTTTCCTCCCACCCTATCCCCAGCCTTTTAAAATTGGCTAAGTAAAATCAGTCAACATGTTCGTATATACAACTTAATGTTCAGTATACAGAGAAAACCGTTAGGAAGTTCACTGGACATAAAACTGTTGTTAGAGAAAAAGTTATTTTTACTCCTTTCCCCCTCAAAAATTGTATGTAGTAATTAATGAAAACTACAGAAGCAGCCACAACTGGCAAAAAAAAAAAAATTTTTTTTTTTAGCTTTCTGAAAGCAGCCACAAATGGCTAAAAAGAAAAAAAAAGACTTTTTAGCTTTCTGAATCAGGACCTTATATGATTCCTTTTATATGCCTCGTTTCTACTCCATTTTGATATATGTTGACCTGGACTTAAAGAACCACAAGAGCAGTCCAGAGACATTTTGAGAAAACGTTAGCACATCGACTGTTAGCACTCCAGAACTGCTCATCATGTTGAACTAATATTAAACCCTGAATCTGGAATGCTGTAAAAGATAATTCCCAGACATGGGATTTGGA